GGGAACGGGGAGGGGGGCACCCGGGGTGGGGGGGGTGGGCCATGCTGGTGGCTGACACAGCCCTTCTTTGCTCTCTGACCCCCCCCCAGTTCAGTGCTCCCCCGGGCATTACTACAACACCAGCGTCCACCGCTGCATCCGCTGCGCTGTGGGCACTTACCAGCCCGACTTCAGGCAGAATTATTGCATCTCCTGTCCTGGCAACACCACCACTGACTTTGATGGCTCCACGTCCGTGTCTCAGTGCAAAAGTAGGAGAGCTTGGATGGGGCTGGGGGAGGGACAGGCATGGCATGAACTGGGTTCCTCCCTCAAAATGCATTTTAAAATCCTTTAAAATCAAGTTGTGGGGTAATTTCTGTGCTTTATGCACACAGGGAAGCACGGGGGGGGATGTGTGGAGTGGTGCCAATGGAGCACTCCCCCCACCCTTGCCCAGTAAACCCCATCCCATCCCAGTGCCCGCGCCACTGGTTCCCAGTTGAACCAGCTCTCCTTGCCTTGCAGACCGGCAGTGTGGGGGGGAACTGGGCGAGTACACGGGCTACATCGAGTCCCCCAACTACCCGGGGAATTACCCTGCCAATGTGGAGTGCACCTGGAACATCAACCCGCCGCCTAAGCGCAAGATCCTGATCGTGGTGCCCGAGATCTTCCTCCCCTCCGAGGACGAGTGCGGAGACGTCTTGGTCATGCGGAAAAACTGTAGGTAACCGAGCGTGCTGCGGGGCTCCTGGAGGAGCTGGGGGAGGAAAAAGGCTGGGGCTTGGTGGAGCTGCCTGCTGCAAAGGGAGAAAGCCAAGGAGGCAGGAAGGGATTCATTTTTTTGGGAATGGGGTGAGCGGAGGGATCGGCATTGCCGGGTGTGGCTGGATGGGTGGGATGTGCACGGGGGAAGCGTGGGCTGGGCTGCACACCCGCTCTCAGCACTTTGGTTTTTTGGGGGGGTAAAAAGCCCTGTTTGGAGCTTTCCAAAGCAAGGAAGGAAAACAACATCCCTGGTACCTCATGTGGAGGCAGGGAGGGGCTCAGCCTGGCTGAACACAGACAGTCCCCACGCTGGTACCCCCTTTGCCGTGAGCATTTCGGCACAGTGAAGCTGGGGGCAGCTGCTCTGGGGGACACCCAGCATCACCCAGCCCCTGCCCCACAGCGTCCCCATCCTCCATCACCACCTACGAGACGTGCCAGACCTACGAGAGGCCCATCGCCTTCACCGCCCGCTCTCGGAAACTCTGGATCAACTTCAAAACCAGCGAAGCCAACAGTGCCCGGGGCTTCCAGATCCCCTATGTCACCTACGATGGTGAGCACAGGGGGCAGGGGGACACCACCAGTGCCCCCCAGCCCAGTTTGGTACCTGGGTTACCTCGTTCACACCTCCCATGTATTTGGGGGGAGCAGACTCCAGGATGGGAAGAAGTTCTTTACAATGAGGGTGGTGAAGCACTGGCACAGGTTGCCTAGAGAGGTGGTGGAGGCCCCATCCCTGGAGACATTCAAGGTCAGGTTGATGGGGCTCTGAGCAACCTGATCTAGTTAAAAAGATCCCTGTGCACTGCAGGGGAGCTGGACTAGATGACCTTTAAAGGTCCATTCCAACCCCACACATTCTATGATTCAGTGGGGACCAGAGGTGTGGGGACAAGTGTCAGCTCAGGCCCTGACCATGTTTTCTGGCTGGGTGTTGCAGAGGACTATGAGCAGCTGGTGGAGGACATCGTGCGGGATGGCAGGCTCTACGCCTCTGAAAACCACCAGGAGATCCTCAAGGTGAGTGTGTCCCCACCAGGTCCTCACTGCCCAGGGCTCTGGGGAATGCTGGAGCATCATTCCTTTGGCTGTGCCCCCCCTGCACTTACTGGTTGTGGTTTGGAGCTGCCATGGAGGAGCACAGGGTAGGATGGTGACCCTCCCTCTGGCTTGTCTTCCCCACAGGACAAGAAGCTCATCAAAGCTTTCTTCGACGTGCTGGCACATCCCCAGAACTACTTCAAGTACACGGAGAAGCACAAGGAGATGCTGCCCCGCTCCTTCATCAAACTCCTCCGCTCCAAAGTCTCCAGCTTCCTCCGGCCTTACAAATAGCCCCGCAGCCAAGGAAAACCTCTTCTCCCTTCCTTCTCCTTTTCAATTTTCTCCTTCCTCCACTCGGCTCTGGCAGGACCACCACCTCCCACCCCACAGACGTGCCCCCCACGATTTCTCCCCCCACAGAGCCGAGCCCCGACCCGGGGGGGGCAGATGCTCTGGTCTCATCCAGCTGC